GTGTCCTAGAGAGTAAAGCAACTAAGGGTCAGCATGATAGAGATCTCTGCTGTGACAGCTGGACTGGTGAGAAGTCCAGATAAACACACACACAAGCCTTGAAGCCGTAAAGGAGGAGGCATGACCAGGCGCATTAAAACAAACAAACAGTGCAAGCGCACACACACACACTCAAGTTTGTTTTTATACAATGCCAGGATGAGTTGTTATATTATGTTATATATGTTTTTATATATATCTGGGATTATCAGATTTTTTTCTGTTAACTGGAAATGGCACATCTTTGTTTCTTTGCTCATAAAGAGGATTTTACATAATGAATGCACATCTCTAATGTAATCATGACTGAAAAAAACACTTTTTATAGTTTGGTTTTAAGAATGTGATTCTTTAATTTCAAAGTTTTAATTTTGGCTGTTTTTAATATTAAATATTTTAAATATTAAAACATTTTCTTACATTCTTCATCATCATTTCCAAATGTTTAGAACACAGGTGTCCAGTCTTATCTGCAGAGGGCTGACGTGGCTGACTGATTAAACAAGTAGAATCAAGTGTGCTTCATTCCATGCACTTTATTTTTATAATGTTGAAACGTTCAGTGAAATGTTTAAATGTTTAGTTGTGTTCCTGTACATTTTCACACTGTAAACTTCAAATTCATGGCAAAGGAATATTGATCCCATATGTCAGTTATCCATTGTTATATGTATAGACACAAAAAAGCACTGGCATGATATGTATAAGTAATTACCTATTCATAATCAGAAGTTCAACCCTAACTTTAGCCACAGTAACCAAAATAGAACATTTTAGAAAATAAAACACATAGCACTTTCCAAATCCAGGACCATTTTTTGGTCTTAAAAAGGCTGTTTGCTCCTGTTTTTCTGTTGACAAGGACAAGTCTGGACATTTTGGACATGAAAATGTACAAAAACAAACACACGCACACATACAAAGTAGTACAGAAATTAATAGAAATGAAAGAGTGTAAATGTGTGTATGTGGGGGGTGAGATCAGTGATATAGTGGGGATGGGCACAGAAAACACAGCCCCCCAAACACATTTTGTGCTGTTCACTCATTAAGAAATAGGTCAAGGATTCCGGCTGCATGCATAGCGACTTGTCAGAATCTCTCAGGCTAAACAGGGGCAAGCCTGCGTGCCTCTGGGAGAGAGAGGGAGAGTGAGGGAGAGAGAGAGAAACAGAGAGAGAGAGAAGTAGTGGGAGATACAGAGAGAAAGGTAGACAGAGATGGAGAAAGTCACAGAGAGAAAGAAAGAAAGAAAGAGATACAGCGATCGGTAGACGGTGATGAAAGTCTGAGAGATACAGAGAGGGGAAAGAGGGCGGAGGGAGAGAGAGTCAGGAAAGAGAGAGAGGAAGGATGCGTAAGAGTGAGAGAGAGTCAGGGAGAAAGAGAGCAAGCAAGGTTAAAAACAGAAAAAGCAGGGGGAGAGAGAGAGAGATAGAGAGGGAGAGATGGCAGCAAAGGGAGAGAGAAAAAGAGAGGGCAAGCAAAGTGAAAGAGAGAGCTGAGGGGGAGAGAAACAGACTGAGTGAAAAAGAGAGCGGAGGTAAGGTGAGAATGAGAGAGAGTCAGGGACAAAGAGAGAACAGAGAGACAGCCATAGAGAGAGAGAGCAAGTGAAGTGAAAGAGAAAGAGAGAGCAAAGGAAGACAGTCAGAGAGAGAGAGAGAGAGCGAGAGAGAGAGAGCAAGAGAGAGAGGAGTTGGTGAGGTGCAGCACTCACTGGTGACACAGCATGTAACTAAAACAAGCACTGCCTCATTCATGACCCACCGACCTCACATGCACCGCTCTCAAAATGCATTCAGCTCACGGGCCTTAGGGAAGAGGAGGGGGGTGAGGCATTACGAGTCTGATGTCACAGCTTAGAATGCAGAGGCGTCGCTAAGGACTCGCTCTGACTGACCGCACTCTCCGGGTCAGTGAGCAAGCGTTTCGCCTGACAGGTTAAAACCCATAGGGGGCGCTATTGAGCCATGTGGGCATGCTCAGAGGGTGAGGTTCTTGAGACCTTGGTAGAGGGAAGGACGGTAAGCTTATCTATCCAGCATCCTGCAGCTGCTTAATTCCTGTGTGGACAGACAAGCTCCTCAGCAAAGACCCAGCCGCCTGATGAATAGTGGCAAAAGTGAGTGATCAGACAGCAAATGTTTTAACAGCTTTGTGATGTGTCTTCACAGCTGCTGAGTCAAGCCGCACTCACAGAAAACAGCAAGTAATGCTAGTGCTATTTCTGCTGTGTTGAAACAAGGCGTGCTGATTGCCCCAACCTGCCTACAAACTCAAGCACTAGACAGTGGAAGGAGCAATGAACATGATGCTCATGGGACAAGTCCATTCAAAATGAGTAGAAGTTCAGACATTTTAGAGAGGTCCACAAACCCTCCTTAAGTGCATAATACCCCCCAATTACCCTTCAGGAAACTTCTGATGTGGCCAACCAACATACGCAAATCAATACCACGCACCTGGGCATGAGGGGCTGAAAGCCTATTTGACAATTTGACTCAACATTCAAGTCCAACTAAAGGGACTCATGCTGTGACGAGCGTCAGCAGGAGTGTTTACTTTGCTCCGCATGATTTGTAGATCAACTTCTAGGGAACTGCTAGGCACAGAGAATGAAGGCTGCATGTCCAGTGAAGTCCTCTCCTCTCAGCTTTGTCTAGTTAACCTTATTGACTGATGACTGTGTGATGTGGTGACAGTCAACAGTCTCTTTAGCCATCCATTACCTCATCAAAGGAGAATAAAGCCACACAAGGGTCTACGCTCGAAGCAGTCTGTAATCCAACCCCGTTTAACCCACCACCAAGGGAAGTGAATGTCACTTTCCAAATTACAATAAGCAAAATTGCTGGCTAAACCTAACTGTTAAACGCACTCTGAGGTCACTAGTACAGACTCTCTGTAATAGAAAGTCTGTGTATGATATAAAACTCTAAAACAAAACGGCTACTTAAATAATCCACTCAAGATCTGCCTCCTCAAAACATTCACGCTATCTGACAGGACGGTGAACGCTGCACGACGTTAATCATTCATGCTAAAATATTCAGTTACATAAACATACTGACATCTTCTTTTAAGCTATTCATGCTTCTTTTAGTGAATGATTTCACAGAACATTAAACCTACTCTCCCAAATCAAACACATATCCCATTCTCTGTGAGTTGTGATCATACAGTGCAGTCTTTTCAGCTTTTCTCTAAGGAAAACGCACCACTTCTACGTTAGGCAAAACTGGTCATTCACAAAGAAATATTGAACACTTGCCCTTTCAAGAGAGCAATTTTCATTTTGCCAGCATTTCCTTCGCCATCTGAGGTCAAAATGCAGTTCCGTACTCAGATGGAAAGGAAACAAAGATGTTAGGATGCCACACTTTGCCTATTTTACTCATTTTCACACCAAAGGAGCGGGAGCTGATTATGTAGTAAAGACCGTCTCATATGATTCTCCCCGTTCACAGCAGATACTGGTTATTTTAATGCAAAAGCAATTTTCTGCTTAAGGCAGCATTAATTTTCCTTACAGCTGAAGCATTGGCTGGCCATGCCTTGTGAAGGAAAAGAAAAATGTGAGTAGCCTACATCTGTTTAGAAACTAAAGTTTATATTAAACACTGGTTATAGCCATTATCCATCATCATTACATTGGCAAAAACACCTAAGCTACTTGTCTGACTGAATCCCACAAAATTACAGGCAAAAGGGGGAGTTATAGGCTATAGGCTATAAGAGAATACAGATAAACTTTTCTGCTGGTAGTTTCACTGCTTGTAATGATTAAAGGTATGCCTCTCTTATCAAGTGTGCTCTGGAGGGAAAAAATGCTTTTTAAAGGTCATAAATGAGACTAACTGATGAATTGTCAATGTTAACTGAAGTAACAGTTAATAGACAGCGTGCTGAAACTGCCTGCAGAAACAGACCCACTAGTTTACACACTGCTGAACTGTACTACTATCAGACCATCTGAGCTTCTTCAACAGTAGTGCTAGTTAACATCCAAGGTTACACAGCTATCTCTTGTCCTTCTTCTCTAAGGGCAAGTCTGAAAGCACTAAAGAAATTTTCGCAAAAGAGCTTTCCTGAGAAATTCTCATGGCACACCATCTCCATTGTTCATGTCTAAATTCATTAAAGAATAAAAGCTCTCACCATCATCCGAACTGCATCAAAGTAATATAGGCTCCGTTTGGCTGGAGGCCAGGGGAATGAGAAAACCATCACCAATGAACACTATCATTCACTAATTCAATCATCGCTGCCCGTACCCTAACCCAGTGGTCACCAACCCTGCTCCTGAAAATCCACCTTCCTGAAGAATTCGGCTCCAGCACATGCCTAACACACCTGGTCCAACTAATTAAGTGGATTGATCTGGCTCTGGATCAGATGTGTTAGAAGTGAACTTTTCAGGAAGGTAGGTTCAGGAGCAGGGTTGGTGGTCACTGCTCTAACCTGTCATTTATAATACCCTGACCAAGGGTTGATACAGTTTGAATCAATGACACTACGCTATTAATAATCCACCACTGAATTTGAACTTGTAGACGGGTTTGTTACAGTGCAGATGACCGCACAGTGTTTCACATCAGCGATATATAAAACGCGCTCTTCTATCAGAGTAATTCAGCTTATCCTGGTTAAAATATGCATATGGCCCAGCTGTCAACAGTAGGTCATGCTCTCTGCGCCGCGGAACAGGCTGAAGTTGGCGTCTTATTCGAATTTTCCGTTCCACCTTAAATGCTGTAGCAGTTGCACTCTCGCGCTAAAAGGCGCCAGAACGTAACTGCTGCACTATTTAAGGAGGAACGGAAAATTCGAATAAGACGCCAACTTCAGCTTCGTTCAAACTGGGCACGTAACCCATTAGTATTCGCGGCCACATGTCTTTCTCTCAAACACACATGTATAAGCATCTGTAGACTTAAATGCAGTCTTCCAGCACTCACCTCACAAGAAACAGCAAGCTGCCCTGGGTTTAATGAAGTGAAGCCTCAGTGAGGATGTGCTCGTATTCTATTCTTCCCTCTCTCGTGAGCGCTCTCTCTTTTTTTCTCTCGCTGTCTTTTCCTCAGGTTGAATATATCCACATCGAGTAGAAAAGGGTCCACAGGAGAGAAACGGTTCCCCTCAGAAAATGTCAGGAGGGCTTGAAAACCAGAGCCGCTTTTGCCAGTGTTTAGTCTCTCACAACCACGCCGGCATCACTAAGGCTAACTGTTACACAGCGGCTTTCAGCTGCATGTCCCGCTCTTCTGGTTCGGGCGATGCTCGTTCGCAAACAGCGGCCAGCTCCACGACATTCCCTCACTGGAGGAGGGAATGTGTCCTCCTTCCACTGCCGGCTCGACCTCGCTCCCTCACAGGCTGCAGGCTCGCTGCGGACATCCACTACATACACACACACTCTCTCTCTGCTTGTTCACTTCTCCGACGGTTCCACGCCGGACTGGCACGAGGCTAACCGGAGCCTGACAGTGTACGGCATCTCTGCCTGTCTCTCTCTCTCTCTCTCTCTCTCTCGCCCTCTCGCTCTCTCTCTCTCTCTCTCTCACACACACACACACACACGCTCACACACTATCTCTCTCTCTCATACACATGCTCTCTCTCACACGCTTACACACATACACACACAGTTTAAAGCCAGCCCCCCTTCGGCCGCCCTTATTAGCATGTCGCATGTTTTAACCGTTTCGGCTCGAAGTAGTCCGCGCGTGCACGCAGCGAGAACACGCGACAGAAATTAAAACGGACAAAATTCAAAATGAATGAATAGTAAACAGTGGCAGCGTATTTCATTCTAGAATGGGCCTTAGATTGGTGGTGGGAATTTCGCCAATCGCTTAGGAATATAACACAACCTGTAAACTACCCACATACATGTAATGCCACTATCTATATATGTACATTACTATTTTTTTTTTTATTATTTAATGCCTTTTTATTAAGTGCCCTTCCAACTCCTGGCAGCCATAGATAGCAGTTAGTATTTGTCCACATTATCACGTCAACACGCACACACACACACACACACACACACACACACACACATATTTGTGTGGGTAGGTGTGTGTGTGTGTGTGTGTGGTGTGTGTGTGTGTGTGTGTGTGTGTGTGTGTAATTTAGTGTATATTATAAAGTATATATTATAAAGAACATAGAAAAAATATATATTATTCTTAGTGTCCAGAATAGGTAGGGTCGAGCGCGGGCTTCTTCTGCTTAACCGTCTTCTCACTTCTTCCAGTTTCAAATCGAACTGACAGCGTTTCTACTCAGCAAAAACATCTTTCCGAAAGCATCTTAGACAGGCTTGAAAAAAAGCCTTATGCATGTCACATTCTCTACAGCAGAGTGACTTGACCACGTTTTATGGAGATAACGTTAACCATTTAGCCACAGTACAACATCTTGAAACTCACACATGTTATGTGAAACATCGCATCGAGAATAAAATATTTAGGAAGGGAACGGCTTAATGCATGGGGATAGGGGTATTCAACGTGGGTAGAGCGAGAGAGAGAGAGAGAGAGAGAGAGAGAGAGAGAGAGAGAGAGAGATATGCCCACTGTCAGCAATTCTGTTAGTGCAGTGCCATCTATGGGCAGAAAATTGGAATTACAACATCTTCTCCAGTCTACATCAATTGATTGACTTCTACTTCTGTACATTGTCACTTTCCATCAAAATGTTATACATCTTCAATAAAAACATATTTAGACATTTGTAAACATGAATTCAGCCAATGCATTTCTTTGGGCAATACATTCCACTGAAGAACGCTACAGTGAGTGCTTCTTGTCTGTGTTACTGTTTATCTAATTCTTTTGGCATGATTATGTACATTTTGGCTACTTGCTTATAACTTTTTAACAGAGAATGTATAGCTACATAGCTCCTTTTTTGCCTTTAATAATAATAAACAGGCTAGTCATTTTATCCATTAGCAAGAAATTATCATTAGGTGTTTCGCAGAGGTGGTTACTAGTGATGGGCAATTTGATCATGTTTATCAGTATCATGATAAATTACAGTACATTTAATCACAGTATACTTTTCTGTGAATGTGATTATTGTCAGTACTTAAAGAACACTGACCAGCTGCGTGGTTCACTGGTAAGAGAGCATCATTAGGCCTGTTTAATGTGAAACATTAAATAAAAATGTTTGTACTTATAACTGTTTATAGTATTTTTACTTTAGATAGTATTTTTTTCTTTAATGTGGCAACTGTTGGTGCTTTTTTGTTTGTTTATTCTGTTCCAACTTATCAAACCAGAAAAGCAAAATATTGTGATGCAGACTATGTTTTGTGAAAATGTCTTGAAGTACCACAATGTTATATTTTTGCCATATCGCCCACCCTTAACAACCTAGGAGAGTTCATTATACTGCACTTTTTGAATGTGCATTTTACATAACAGAGTGTTTCCTGCAGAAAACTGTTTCAGAATCTGTCCTCTGTAGTGTGTCAATGAGTTTTCAAAACTGGCTAGCACACTCAGACCATCAGTGTTCTCCTTTCTGTATTAAACCCCACTTTACAACAGCATTTTATTTATTGAAAAGTCTCAGGTTCAAATTTGAGATCTTTCAAGACTACTAAAAGACACACTGCCTAAATTTGTCACAGTTTTCGCAAGACGACATGTACCTGCAAGCCTGAAACTTGAAAATGGCATTCTATGTATAGCCAATAGCTTGATTTTGTTCAGTCTAAAGAAATAGATTTGCATTAGCCTGAACTCTCCATCTTTGCACTCAAGATGAGAGTCAAAAACAGAGCATTGCAGGACCACTTATCCTGTGATCCATCAATAATTTAGAGTGGGAAGGGGACTGATGGCAGCCATCAAAAGTATTGCAAAACTGCCAGGGGGACGGCGACATTGAGCAACCAGTATGTAAGTACACTAAAAGCCTAAGCCACTCTTAAAAGATGGAGTCAATACCTGGAGGGCGTCCATATTGAAGTTCCACTGCACTAACTCTCAAATGCATCTTAGTCATTCTCTAGTAATCAAATACAAGGTTTTTTCAATCCATTAGTCACCAGCCTGTTTGGAGGAAGCAGTGGGAGTTGGCCTGATTAGAAAATAATTGAAATGACTCAGTAAACTTAGTGTGACTTTTAGGCAAAGAGTAGATGCTTGCTTTATGAAGTGCACTCCAAAAATACATTTTTTGTATGAACTTAATTGAAGCTCTTAGTCTCTAAAGGCCTCGAAAGGTCTCTAAATGTGATCCCAGACTTCAGTTCCTCACAACTTACATAGTTTCATAGTATTTACTGAACAATTCATAGTAGTTACAGAAAAAGCCTCAAAGGGGAATTCCAGATATTTCAAAAATTCTGCATACATAAATTGTAAATTAAAATGTGTCATGAGTCATTTAGAGTAGTTTGATGTAAAAACTCATTTTGATAAAAACTTTTCAAGTCAGAATTGTTTACAGTGGTGATAGGAACCAGACATTTTAAGAGTTTTATAATGCTTCAAATACCCTGTCAATGCCTTAGACAGTATTTTGGGATTATTGTGTGGGAATATCTTGCATTAAAATGTATGTGTAGGATCTATTCATAGAGGAGAGCTACATGCTGGGTGTTGTAAGGCAAAATAATAATCAAAGAAATCTCATTTTTTCAGATATACCACTATTTTACCATTATCATTATTGCCCATGAAAACACTTATAGGTTCACTGGTCATTTTGGAGAGCAAATAAAATGGCTATATTTGCATTATAGACAGTGTGACTCCTGGTACCTATCACCACCACTGTAAAGATATCTAAGATGGTAAGTTTCTCTAGAACACACTATCTCACATCAAAACACTCGTAATGGCTTTGTTTTAATCTCAGCATTTGAATTATGCAGACATTTTGATCCTCTTTTTAAGATTGATAATGTATCATAACCCTAGGGTTTGTGGGGTTATTATAATGATGCCAGATATTTCCATTCAGTCACATAGAGTCTGTAAATACAGACATTTTTACCTCAAAATGAAAAGCAATAAAAATTGAAGTCAACATTTTGTCAGTTTGCAATTCAAACAAGCACTTTGATGCATTTTGTTTTTAGTGTGAATACAATGGAAGATATATTTTGCCATCCAAAAAACCCTAAATACGGATTAGGAGCGCAGAGTTGGAGGGTTGTGCAGCTGTGGACTTGAAAGCACACATGCTGGGCCTCTGCCACAGAGGGCCCTGATTCAAGGTTGGCTCAAGTGCCAGCGCTGGAACGAATGCTATAATTGGTACAATCCGTGAAACATTATCTCAGGCTGACCTTGGCTGAGATGGTACAATCTGAGCTTAATTACTAATGATTGTTCAACTCTGATAGGCAATGAAGGCGTCCAAATTGGGTTCAAGTTCCAGATGTCGAAAAAGTGAGATGCATGTGAGGTATGTCAGCAGAGCAGGAGCTCAGATGAAATGGGTTCATGACTTCTCCACTGAGAGTTCAACAAACAATTACGAGTCATTCTAGAAAGTGAAGAGTGATGGAGCTGTGCACATGGTTTGGGTCGTAATGATTTTAAGGCTGTATTATTGTCAGTGTATGTCAATTCCAATCTTGAGTATGCTCGCTATTAAAAAACATATCCAGCAGATATTTTAAGTGATTTTATGTCTTTTAATAGCATGACCACTGTTTCATAAAATTTCTAAGTTTGTTCCCTGTAAAGTATGAGTTAACTTACTTTCACAGAAAATTAGCAAAACATGTAAATGTGGCCAGGGGTAGTCAAACTATTGCATAAAAATGTATCTAAAAACAACAAAAAAGAAGTGCAATACACCATGGTTCTAAACCTGGAACTTAAGCCAGACAAAACAATTACAAAGTTTATGTACATTACATTTGGACTTTTGGGTTGCATTACAAAGTTTCCTTCGCTAATTAGCTCACTAAAACTAGGCTAGCTTAGAGTAAATGCATTCCTATTGAAATGTCTGTTCCCCATTCCCTCCTCCTCTCGTCTTGTGAGTGGTCACTTTAACGTAGGAGCGTACTACTGAGGTGAAGATGGCAAGAACATCTTAAAAATAGTATTGAAACAGAAGTCAAAAGGACAACCCATCCTCTTCCAAACCACCCTAAACAGAGGAATTATGATGCACGTAGTGCAGGTTCAAAAGTACGATGGCTAAAAAGAGTAGCACTTGGATTATACAGAGGATAGAAAAACACATAGACCATATAGTCCATAGGGAAGAAAGATGTATGTACATATATTTGCTCATGTAAAAAATGTGTGCAATTATTGTGATGTTTTAAAATATAACTGTGCCATTTTTGAATATTTAAATACATGCATATACATGTCGACAAATTGAAATATATGCATATATGTACATGGAAATATATGTTTCATATTTAAATATACATGTCAAACAAGTATGAAAATATATTAAAAACTTGACATAAAATATATAGAAGTACCTATGTGTATACATATATTTGCTCATATTAAAGATTTGTGCAATATATGTACAATATGTGATGTAAAATACAAATGCCACATATATATATTTAACTGTGCCATTTTTTAATAT